AAAGAATCTACCAAGAAGAAAGAAAGATAAGGAATCCAAAGTAAACCACGAGGTTCACCTAGAAGACTTTTGTTCTGTGGTGCTGGGAATCGAACCGAGGGCTCTGTGCATATTAAGCAAATATTCTACTACCGAGCTCTATCTTCAGCCTCCAAAGGCTTTTCTGTAAGCAGCTTAGTGACACAGAAAGACTAAATGTAAAGTGTATAACACATTTGTTTGTTTTGGTGCTGGTCAGGGGCGTGAACTCAGGGCCTGGGTGTTGTCTCTGACCCTTTGTGCTCAAAGTTATTGCTTTACCACTTATGCTACAGCTCCATTTTGGGCTTTTTAGTGGTTAATTGGAGATAAGAGTCTCACAGACTTTCCTGTCCAGGCTGGCTTTGAACTGTGATTCTGAGATCTCAGCCTGCTAAGTAATTAAGATACAGGGGTAGGCCATTGGCACCTGGCTGATGTGTGATTCTTTAAAAATCTACCTAAAATGGTAAGAGAGACATATGCTGGGTAATTTCGCAATTCTAATTAGAGCCCTTAAAATAGGCCAGATTTTCCAAGAGCTGAAGTCTTTACACACTTGTTTCAATATGCTGGATGGGGCCAAATATGTTCTGCTCACTGTCATGTGGAAACTGGGTCAGAACCTGCGGAATATGCTCTTTCAGAGAGAATATTCTAGAGCTGATTACCTAAGGCACACTTGATGGGAACTCATGGCAGTATTACAAAGTCGGAGACAATACCTCATAAGCCTTGCTGATCTGAATGAACTTGTCTTCGGCCCCAGGATCTTTGTTTTTATCAGGATGCCTGAAACACAAATGGGCAGCCAGTGAGAATGGGCTCAATGTGTTCCCAGTCATGTAACATCCTCAGACACACATTTACCAACATCAGGGGTCGCTTTCTTAGGAGAGGTCTCCTAAAATAAATGCTAGAAGCAATCGGATGCTTCACAAGACTCTGAAACAGGAAAGTCTTTATCAGGTCACCTCCTCCCAAAGCATTGGAGCTGGGCACATTTCCACAGCAGCAGAAAACATTGCAGTGTCTTATGGAAGACAAGTGCAGATGTGCGAATCCAGCTGGGCAGCTCAAGCTAAACTGCTTCTGTGTTCTCCTAACTGCAAGTGTTGGTGGCTGTTCCTTCCCACGTTAGTGGTTTGGAACCAGGCACTGTTTCTTTTCTTTTGGTGCCAATACTAGGGCCTGAACTTAGTTCTTTCTATTCAAGTGTGGTGCTCTATCACTGGAGCCCCTGCTCCACTTCTGGCTTGTTGCTGGCTAATTGGAGATTAAGAGTCTCACAGATTTTCCTTCCCAAGCTGGCTTGAATAGCTAGAATTACAGGTGTGAGCCACTGGTGCTCAGCTTAAGGCACTGCTTCTGGTAACAAGCAGGTGGGCATGAGAGATGGCTGTAGGATGCACAGAGTATTTTACTGATGACCTTCAAGTCAGAATGCTTCAGAGTCTGCCATCACCTGCCTGGGACTGCCTTGTAGCTACACACATGATTTTCAGCCCATGTTTAAGCTGTGTCTGTAGTTAACACAAAGATCTTTCCACTCATCTTATAACACTAAGCATTTGCTGTCATCAATGACTAACTGCCTCAATCTTGAGTTCATGTATCATTCTGTAATTTTTTTTTGTGCTTATACCAATTTTCTTGGTGGGGAGGGCATTTCAAAACCCTGGACAGCAGGGGCTAGTCTTGCTTCCCTGCCAGACCCTAGGATCTCCATAAGTATATATTCACTACATTAAAAGAGTGTAATGACAAGCTGGGTACTGGTGGCTCATGCCTATAATCCTAGCTGCTTGGGAGGCTGAGATCTGAGAATTGAGGTGCTAAGCTAGCCAGGTAGACCAAGAGATTCTAGCAGCAATTAGCCAGAAGAAAAAGCCTGAAGTAGAACTGTGGCTCAAATGGTAGAGCACCAGTCTTGAGTGCCAAGACCTAAGTTCAAGTCCCAGTATAGGTGCATGCGTGCACATGCACATGGGCGCACATGTGCGCGTGCACACACGCACGCACGCACGCACGCGCGCGCACACACACACACACACACACACACACACTGTATGACAGAGTTTGCTTGTGTGTTTATCTTTTGAGACAGTCTCCCTTATAGCCCAGGCCAGCCTGGAACTCAAGGTTTGCTTGCCTCAGCCTCCTGATGGCTGAGATTACAAACATGTGCCACCATACTTGGCCTCACATTTATTCTCTATGTAATCAATTTTGTTAACCTCTTCTAAATTTCTTCTAGCAAAGGTTCTGGGAAGATAAAACAATCCACAGGGAAGTAAATAACTACTAAAAATATGCCAAGCGCATTAGAATAATTAAAAAAAAAAACACCCCACACCTTAGAATTTAGTGAATTCATTCAATGTATTTGAATGCTATGGAGCACATACTCTCATCTCTGACATCATTCTGCCCTTCAGGTTAAATCCTTGGGAATATCTCTGCTAAATACAATAAAAACAGCATGATGGAAGGAAATGAGATGGTGGGTCCAAAGAATGTTCTGAATGACCAAAAAAAAGGGGTTTCACTACTCAAACTTAGGCTAAAGACTGAGTGGAGAAAATTATGCAATCCTGCAAATGAAGATTTAACATAAAGAACTTTCTAGTGAAGAAGGGTAGGAAAAGATTTCTTAGGAGACTGAAGCAGAGAGAGTACCCAGCACTAAGGAAATCACACACAGTCTGTGCACAGGGAGTAGGTTCCTGAATATAAAGTAAAACACAGATACAAAAGGGGAAGTTCTGCCCTAGGAAGTAAAGTATCTTCCAATGCTAGAATATCAGTGAATATGAAATTCTTTATTTTTTTTTTGGTCCAGTCATGGGGCCTGAACTCTGGGCCTGGGAGCTGTCCCTCAGCTCTGCAGCTCAAGGCTAGCGCTCTACCACTTGAGCCACAGCGCCACTTCCGGCTTTTTTCTTTTTGCTTATGTGGTGCTGAGGAATTGAACCCA